ATAAAATGAGTAAGAAAGAAGTTAAGAAGAGTAATAGAATTTTAGAAAACTTAGATATGAAAGACCTTTGAAGAAAACTGAATGGGAACAGAAAGGAGTACAAACACATGGTGCTTTATGGAAATTCACATTATGCAAATTGGACTTTATGTAAGGAATTCTATAAGAAATGTGCATTCCAAGAAAACATCTATGTAAACTTTACCATAGTATAGTGGGATCTCTTTCTGCTCCTGCCCCTCAAATTGGTGCTCTGTGGCCTCCTAATGATGGGGTATGGGCCCAAGCCGAGATTTTCTCCCCTTACCCCAAAGGGAATCTGGCTCCCATTTGTCTATGGGCCCAGCTCCTCATCTCCCTTTGAAAGCCCTAGCCCCACCTCTTGATCTTATTCAGATGCCTTTCAAACTTCTTCCTTCCAGTACCTCTCATTATCTATTCCCATTGTCTATTCAATCTCTTAGACATTCCAATGGGAATTCTCACCTAGACCCTTTTCCCAGCCTGTTTCCTGGTCACCCAAAGTTACTTTAGTGTATATAAGATCCACCCTGGCCCCCATTTAAAAGCTGAGCTTTTCTCATCCAGATCCTCCGTATGGGTGTCACCTGGCCTATATGGTTTATCTCTAATAAACTTTTTTCTCTGGTGGAAAGAAGATTTGGGTTGAATTCAGGCAGGGCCCGCGTGTCGCAATCTCGGGGTCCCATCACCCCTTAACATCTAGATCTCATCACTACCACTACCAACTCCCTCCCCTAAAGAAAAAGCTAAAAAAAAAGTCCTCCAAGTAAAAGCAGAGGAACAGATCTGCAGAGAGACAGCCACCACCACTGCTGAATCAGGACTTGGCTTAAGACCTCTAGTGCTGAGAGGAGAACTTAGTTTCAGTCTGCCCACCCACCCAAGAGTTTGGTCCCTGTGTTTTGTTATTTTGTCCATCCATGTTGGGGTACCATGTATCTGTCCCTGGTTCCCACCGTGTGTGGCCTGTCCTCTCCTGAATGTTTCCATGTGCAGCCCCCATGTGCCTCCCTGCCAGCGTGTTCTTACTTTCAATTCCAGACAGGCCCTCATGTGGCTGGCCCCACCAGCCACGTGTTCCTCCTTCTGCTCTTGCTTCGCCGTGTCTAGACCCCACCTGTCCTTGAACCATGTCTTGCCCCTTCCTCCACGGGGCTAAAGTCCCCTTCCTGCCTCCCTCCTGCCCTTTTCCACATCCATGCGCAAATTCACATTACATGAAGGGTCTGCGGAATGGTCCACTTATATTGTTGTTATTGTTTAGTATTTATTTAGTGTTTTATTTTTCCCCAATAACATGTAAAAACAAATTTTAAGATTCATTTTAAAAATTTTGAGTTTGAAATGTTCTCCTCTCCTCCCTCTCAACTCCCATCCCCCCTCCATTAAGCAGGCAAGCTATCCAATATGTTATACATGTTGAGTCATACAAAACCTATTTCTTTTTTTTTTCAGCCAAAGACAAGTTTTATTAGAACATTCGCCATATTGGGCAGACTCTTAAGGAGTCTGAACATAGTGAGCTATCGGCTAGATTTTAAGAATCTAAGCAGTGGCTAGATTATAAGAATGTGAGCAGTAGCTGATTTTAAGAATCTAAGCCAAAACATATTTCCTTATTAGTCATGTTGTAAAAGAAAACACAGACCAAAAAACAAAATCCCCAAGAAAAATAAAGAAAGTAAAAAAAAGTAAGCTTCATTTTGTATTCAGACACCATCAGTTCTTTCTCTGGGGATGGATAGCATTTTTCATCCTAAGTACTTCAGAGTTGTCTTGGATCTTTATATTACTGAAAATAGCTAAGTTGTTCACAGCTGATCATCTTATAATATTGCTGTTACTGTGTACCATGTTCTCCTGGTTCTACTCATTTCACTTTCCGTTAGGGCATGTAAGTATTTCCAGGATTTTCTGAGACCATTCTGATCATCATTTCTTATAGCATAATAGTATTCCATCACAATTATACACCACAACTTATTCAACCATTCCCCAATTGATGCTCATCCCCTCAATTTCCAGTTCTTTGCTACAAGAAAAGAGCTGCTATAAATATTTTTCTAAGTATAGGACCTTTTCCATTTTTAAAAATATCTCTTTTGGGATTCAGACCTAGTGGTGATACTGCTAGGTCAAAGGGTATGAATGGTTTTATAACCCTTTGGGCATAGTTCCAAATTGCTCTACAGAATGATTGAATTCGTTCACAACAGTGTCTTAATGCCTCAATTTTCCCACATCCCCTCCAGCATTTGTCATTTTCCATTTCTCTCCTATTAACCAATCTAATCCGTGTGAGGTAGTAACTCACAATTTTTAATTTGCATTTCTCTAATCAATAATGATTTAGAGCATTTTTTCATATGACTATAGATAGCTTTGATTACTTCATCTGAAAACTGGTCATATCTTTTGATGGTTTATGTGGTGGGGAATTGCTCTTATTTCTACACATTTGACTCAGTTTTCTATATATTTGAGAAATGAGGCCTTTATCAGAGGAACTCGGCTTCAAGAATTTTTTTTTTACCAGTTATGAGTGCTAACTGCATTTCTCTCCATCCTATTTTCCCCCTTGTTTATTGTATTCTCTGTCTCCTTTCACCCTATCCCTCCTCAAAAGCTCAAAAGTGTTTGGCTTCTACCACCTCCCCCAATCTGCCGGCCCTTCTATCACACCCCCCCCTTCTCTTCTGCACTTCCCTTCCTAATTTCCGGTAGGGTAAGATAGATTTCTATACCCTTGTATGTGTGTGTGTATGTGTGTGTGTTTTATTCCCTCTTTGAGCCATTTCTGATGAGAGCAGGGTACAACTGTTCCCTGACACCTCCCCCCTCTTCCCCTCCACTGTAAAAACTCTTTCTTGCCTCTTTTATGTCACATAATTTACCCCAATTCTACCTCTCCCTTTCCCTTTCTCCTAGTACATTCTTCTTTCTCACTCCTTAATTTTATTTTTTTAGATTTCATCCCTTCATATTCAACTCACACCTTTGCCTTCTATCTATTTATACTCCTTCTAACTGCCCTAATGGTGAGAAATTTCTTATGAGTTACAAGTATCATCTTGCAATGCAAGAAAGTAAACAGTTTAACCTTATTAAGTCCCTTGTATTTCCCTTTCCTGTATACCTTGTTATGCTTCTCTTTAGTCTTGTAATTGAAAGTCAAATTTTCTATTCAACTTTGGTCTTTTTTTAATCAAATATTTTATTGATAATCTAATATTGCAAAGGAATGTAATCCCTAAGATTTGTTTTGCTCCTTTTGACAGTTTAATAAATTCCAAACAGTAAGATATCGTAACTTTTTTTCTTCAGTATTTTATTTTTCCACAGTTGCATATAAAAACAATTGTTAACATTCCTTTTTGAAACTCTGAGTTCCAAATTCTCTCCCTTCTACCCTCCCCACACACCCTCATTGAGAAGGTAAGCAATCTGATATAGATTATACATGTGTAGTCATGCAAAACATATCCCTAATAGTCATGGTGTGAAAGAAAACATAGACAAAAAAAAACTCAAGGAAAATAAAGTTAAAAAATGCTTCTGTCTGTATTCAGACACCATCAGTTCTTTCTCTGGGAATGGATAGCATTTTTTATCATAAGTCCTTCAGAGTTGTCTTGGATCTTTGTATTGTTGAGAATGCCTAAGTTATTCAGATCATCTTAAAATATTGTTACTTTGTATACAGTACATTTCACTTTGCATCAACTCATGTAAGTGTTTCCAGGTTTTTCTCACAGCATCCTCCTCCTCATTTCTTATAATACAATAGTATTTCGTCCTAATCACATACCACAGTTTGTTCAGCCATTCCCCAGTTGATGGATATCCTCTCAATTTCTAATTCTTTGCCCCAGAAAAGAGCTGCTATAAATATTTTTGTACTTACAGTCCCTTTTCCTTTTTGGTTTTTATCTCTTTAGGGATATATATCTAGTAGTTGTATGGCTAGGTCAAAGGGTATGAATGGTTTTATAGCCCTTTGGGCATAGTTCCAAATTGCTCTACAGAACGACTGAATCCATTCATAACCCCAGCAACAGTGCATCAATGTCTCATTTTTCCCATATCCCCTCCAACATCTGTCCTTTTCCTTTTCTCTCCTATTAGCCAAGCTAATAGGTATGAGGTAGTACCTCAGTATTGTTCTAATTTGCATTTCTCCAATCAGTAATGAGAGTATTTTTTCATATGGCTATATATAGTTTTGATTACTTCATTTGAAAACTGATCATATCTTTCGATCATTTATCTGGTGGGCAATGGCTCTTATTGTTATAAATTTGACTCAATTCTCTATATGTTTGAGAAATGAGGCCTTTATCAGAGAAATGTACTTCAAAAATGTTTCATAGTTACTATTGGTAACTGTATTTCCCTCCATTCTATCCCCTCATTAATTCTATTGTCTCTCTCCTTTTCACCCTATCCCTCCTCAAAAATATTTTCCTTCTGACTATCTCCTCCCCGAATCTGCCTTTCCTTCTATCACACTCCCCCCCCCCCCCTCCTTCCCACTTTCCTGTAGGGCAAGATAGATTTCAATACCTGATTGGATGTGTGTGTTATTCCCTCTTTGAGCCAATTTTGATGACAGTAAGATTCACTCACTCCCCCTCCCCCTTCCCCCTCTTCCTCTCCACTGTAAAATCTTTTTCTTGCCTCTTTTATGTGAGGTGATTTACCCCATTCTGTCTCTCCCTTTATCTTTCTTCCAGTACATTCCTGTCTTATCACTTAATCTTATTTTTTTAGATATCATTCCTTCATATTCAATTCACACCTGTGTCCTCTGCCTATGTGCACTCCTTCTGACTGCCCTAATGATGAGAAAGTTTTTATGAGTTACAAATATCATCTTCCCATGTAGGAATGTAAACAGTTTAATCTTATTAAGTCCCTTATGATTTCCCTTTCCTGTTTATCTTTTTATGCTTCTTTTGAGTCTTGTATTAATGGAAGTCAAAGTTTCTATTCAGCTCTAGTCTTTTCATCAGGAATGTTTGTAGGTCTTCTATTTCCCTGAATGTCCATTTGTTCCATTTCTCCATTTTCCATTTCTTCAGCTTTGCTCAACAGGAGTGTAGGGGTGGAGGTAGTGGATAGTTGAAGTGATCCAAGACTTAGGATGACAACACGATGATATTCTAGTTGAGGAGAACAGCTTGAAGTAATTGTGGTGGTACTGGGGATCAAAAGGGGGACACACCCTGCAGAGATAATAAGGGGGATGAAATGGCAGGATTTATTAAGTTATTGGACATGGAATTGATGGAGAATGAAGAGGCAGCCCAACTGTGCAATGAATACAACGCTGCAAGTAGAGTCAGGAACGCTCAAGTGTAACCCTGCCTCAGCTAGCTATGTATTCCTGGGAAAGTCATTTAACTGCTGTATGCCTCCATTTCCTTCTCTGTAAAACTGAGGTTGGCTGTGACGGCCTCTCATGTCCCAAGCCATGATTCACCTCAAAATGGCCTGAATTCACTTTCCCATATTCTGCTATTCTGTCTCCTTAATTGCTGCCCTGCCCACCCCCTCACCCATCCCCTAGGTTAAACCTAGCGCCTATGCTTAGCACAGTGCTTGGCACATGGTAAGCACCCAAGAAATTCTTGCTCTCACTTCATCTCTCACTCTCTCTCTCTCTCTCTCTCTCTCTCTCTCTCTCTCTCTCTTTCCCTCTCCCCTGCCACCCCCCACACCCCATCTGTGACACCTTGGTACGTCAATATGGAAAATGTACATCTGGAACAGTGGTCTTCTTACCTGGCCAGACTGAGGCTGAGAGTGTCTGGGGGTGGATTTTTTCTTTAGGAAGTTTGTGGAGCCAGTGAGGCCCTTTCCCTTCAGGGAAGCTCTCCAGTCATTCCTTGGATAACAAGATTACTCCACCTTGCATTAGGGCCTGTATTGGGGAAAAACTCAAAGTACACACCCACACATATGAATATGTAAACAGTCATAATTATTGTTCTTTTACAAACTGTCTCTTCCTGTGATGGAGCCTGGAGAAGGGTATAGTGAGGAAAACTGCTAAAGTTCAGAATAATGATGCTTGCAGGACAAAGAAAGTACAAACATCAAACCTACAGATGCTGGCAAAATCATCAAAGCAGGTGATATCTTTAGAAGGAATTGAAAATTTATGGTGGCTAGGATCGGTTTTGTCAGAAAGTTCCATGAGTCAAGGGAAAACTAGTCTAGGGGATAGGAAGGTGACTGGGAAAGGCTGATGGAGGATGGTGGGAGGGAGAGCAGGGCCTGTGTTTTGGGCAACAGTCTGACTGCACTGCATGATTCCATAAGGAATGGTATCCTGGCCAGGACACTGAGCCTCTAGCAGCTCTGGGAGAAAGAACCTAAGTACCCACATAAGGATTGGGCATGGGAGAGTGGCTTCAAGGATGCCCCTTGGCACCAACATTTCACCTGTGGCAGGCATATGGGTAGTAGAGGGTCTGTGGACCATACTGTCTCTGACTTTAACTTTTATAGACAACCACCCAGGGCAGAAGGAGAAACTTGCTCAGACAGGGAAGTGAATTGTCCTTGGACACACAGGTGCTAAGTGTCAGAGGCAGTTCCAGAACTCTCTTTACCAAAGAATCACACAATGTGAGAGCTGGAAGGGACATAAGAGGCCATTGAGTCCAACCCTCTTCCTAAGAGGAATTCCCACCATAACATACCTGAGAAGTGGTCATGCAGCCTCTGACTGAAGAACACCAGGGAGGGTCCAAGCATCACTTCAAGGGAGTCCATCTCACTTTAGGGCTGCTCTCATTGCTAGCAAGTTTCTCCTGACACCTGGCCTTGATTGCAACTCTTTACAACTTTTTGCCACGTGCCCCCACCCCATCTCCTAGCCCTAAATAGTATAGGACCTTATATAGTGCTTTGAAGTTTACAAAAAGCCTTAAAACTTAAATGATCTCACTTCAGTCTTAAGAGATGCATCCCTAGGGACCAGAGAAGGGAAAATGGGTTAGGTGGGTAGGACTCTGTGGCTTTGGCACAAATCTTGATCCTTTGATTAAGTTTATCTTGCACAGAGTGCCTGTAGGCAGTACAGCTGATTCCTGGGATCTTTGATATTCCTTTAGAGGGCCTACTAAATTTCTTTGTAAGCTAATTTGCTGCAGTAATAATTTGATGTTGATGAAAATTATGTCCAAACCTCCTATGAACTTAAGAGTTTCATTCCTGGGTTTGTTGTGTCCTTGGATTGGACTTAACTGGGTGCTCTTAGAGAAATAGTCTCAATGCAAGCAGCATCAGAGATCTAAGACTAGTGATTAATACTAAAGCACCTAAATTTCTGTAATAAGCTATAAGTAGGAAAGATCTTAGTGTTTTGATCTGAATTCTTTTCATGGCCTAGCAAGAGGTAATATTACTGTTTGAACTCATCATATGTATAAGATTGGAGTCCTGAATGTGTCTCATTCTTTCAGATTAAGAATGGCTATAGAGAGGAATAAATAAGCTTCAAAAACAGAGAAGCCAATCTATTTAGAGTAGCAACTTATGATCTTAACGGAAATTTTATTTTACTCAGGATGTTATTAGGAACCAGAACATGTGTAGGAAGTTATGCAAACTACTTAGAGCTCACTTCAGAGATGTTCTCTAATTAATGTGACACTATAGTCACACCTGAAACCCTGATGAGGGGAATTTGCTATCTAACACCTTGGGGACTGTTAATGAACTATTATTCTGAATCTAACTCCAGGTATGGTTAACAATCGAGCTACTGACCCACGACGTCAGCAACCTGCAAAGAGGTTTGTGAGCTGCATCTATGAGCTGCAAGAGGGTGTTCTCATGGGAAAGTCGGGAGAACGACTTTTCTGCATGGCTGAGGTAGGATTCTCCTGAAGTTTCCCTACTATGACACCTGGCAGACTTTAAACCTGGCTCAATGCAGTTGGTTACTATATCACTTCTGCCTGGAATTGACATGAATCTAGGGAAGCATTATTCCCTTACTTTAGTTATTTTCCTGTTCTTTCATGGCAAATTCCTATAATCATGAGTTTTTAAAGCATAAATATTGAATCTATTAAACAATAGACTGATGCAGGAACATCTGAAGTTATTATACTAAGATGCAAGTATAAGATTGAGTTATTTGGTCCAGAATTTCAGAATTAAGTATTCAGTCTTGACATCTGTTTCTAGTTTATTCCTGTATAAGTCAGGGTCTTTTAATTTCTCATAATGGTATGGGGATAATTAGGCCAGGACATTGTGGAACCAGGATATTATTCTCTTTCTTAATTAATATTTAGTTAATGTTATAGTTGTCTCAGTTTGTTACAATTAATTCATGTTAAAAGAAAAATATCTTGTGACTTATTTTGTAAATGCCTTGAAAGAAGCATCCATTTTAATTAAGGATTATTTATTTGTACATGACTACAAATTGGGATTATTTTAGTATTTGATATGTACTGGTTTTAAATTAACTACTATGTGTTGGAGTCTGTTATTAATTCCTTAGTGGAATCTCTTCCTTCTCATAGGGGAATATGCATAGGAATGAGTAATGAATTAATGCAAGATATAAAACTAGAAGTAATGCAAAGTGTAACACTAGGTTCTAATTTTTCTAATTTGAGTTTCTTAAAATATGACAATTGGCCAAGGTTCCAATTTTGACCTTGTAATGATGGAGACATGAGGGTTGAGTTAACTTTCATTATTTGCCCTGGTTATTGGCAAGGTAATTTAAAAATTGTGTTTAGATCAATCTTGGAGGAGAATGGACGTAAGAAGGAAGAACTCTACAAGAAGAGAGTCTGCTGGACACTGTTTGAACAGCACTTAGACCAGAAGACTTCACTGGATGATGTCCAGAGTGTCAGACAGCTGTATGAGAAGAGACTTCTGAAGCTCTAAATGGAAAATTTACTGTTACTTTTGGGTATCTGTACTTAATAAGGGGATTACATTACCCCTTTTTAATTTGTCAACACATCAGTCAATTTCTCCCTTCCTTCTCCCATATTGTTTTAAGTCCCTAAAATCCCCTGATGAAATGTTGCCAGCAGCACTGCACCAGATAGAACCATCACTAAGGCATTGTAACGTTTAACAACTTTAACTGAGGAGTTGGCAGAGAACTCTGGGATAGATAATTGATTGAAGGGATGGTTAGAATCCTGGTTTGGCAAATGGAAAAGGAATGCCTGTATCCATTATCACTAACATAATTGTGGCTGCAGGAATATTAAATGCTGTAGGATGTTGTATAGGTCCATGCGTTAGAGGACTGGTACCCCATGACTGATAGAGACGTTCCTCACTAAGATTATCCCAGTAGGATCCATGGTGGAAGTTCAGATGGCAGGCTCTGGCAATATGAGGATGATGATTGAAAGTACCAATGAGACTTCCCCCAGTGATGGAGAATGCGAAATCATGTTAAAGAGATTAGAGGATATGGAAATTGGGAATGTGTGGAAGCCAAATCTTTACTAGAGTGCAATGTGCCCACTTCTCTCACGAAAAGTGTAATAAAGGCTTTCCTTCACTGACTCCTGTAGTAGATTTGTGTTTCAGATTTTTCTAACAGTGGATGTACTGTATTGGAGACTGACTAAATGTTTCAAGCAGCTTTATTCCCTTCAGCAAACTATCAAGTCCTGGAACTTGCTGGCTTTGACTGGCTTAGTAAAATCTGTCAAGGACTTGACATCCAAGGGGCATGAGCCCAAAGTCCCATGACAGTATCTCTCCCTTGATCCACTTCTCCTTGTCTCCTACTTCCTTCTATATAGTCTTATTTTATACTATGTGCTTGATTTGATGATTCTGCAAGTCACCTTCATTAACCCAAAGTCAAGAGAGAAAGAGTCATCTTAGGTCTCTTTTATACCTAATTAAATGACAAGAAATTACATTGTACTTTTTCTAGTTCCATCAAAAAAGATTAAGTGATATATTATAAAGGCATACAAGGTTTAAAAAAATGAAGAGTGAATAAGGCCAAATGAAGATAGAAATGCTTGTTCATTGTATGTGTGTGTGTTTCTTTGCCATCCAATTTCTATACGTGGCCCTTTCTAATTGAAGAAAAATTACTTGCTAAGACTTACAGCATTTTCTAAATATGAATCCAAAAATAGACATACTTCTTAGCACTACAAGAATCTTTTACAAAAACTGACCATGCATTAGGGTACAGATATATTGTAAATGATTGTAAAAAGGCAAAAATATTTACTACATCCTTTAAAAACCATGCCACCATAAAAATAGTCATTGGTTCAGGGACCACTAACAATTGCCACAGATCCAAATGGAGCCTTAACAACAAAATCCTAAAGGAGGAGGTCAAATTAAATGATATAGAAACAATGAGTAATGAAGTTAAAGAAAATGATAATTAAGCAATTAATAAACATTTGGTAAGCACCTACAATGTATGAGACACTGTACTAAGCACTGTGAATACAAAAAGAGGAGAGACAATCCCCCACCCTGAAGGAACTTAATCTTTTTTTGGTGAGGGAGTTGAAGCCTTATTTTAAAAGATTTTTTCTAAATATTTTATTTTTTTCTCCAATTACATATGAAACATTTTAATCATTTTTTACATTTTGAATTCAAAGTTCTATCCCTCCCACTTTGCCCTCCCCTCCCCTCCCCTCTCCCTGAGACGATAAACAATCTGATATAGGTTACTGTGGGATCCCAACTGGGGAAAAGCCATGAAATACAATAATTAGTGAAAAGCCATAAAAACTTAAAACTCTGTGAAGGTGGAAACCCAAAGATGGTGACCTGTGAAAAAATCATAACTTTGATACTGAATCATCACTTAGACAATGAGTCATAACTTAAGATCCTATGATCAATGAAAGTTATAACAAGATTATTGTTACCCATATGTGACTATTACATGATCAATGCACAAACTTATATTTGGCATAACAATAGTTTAATGCCCAAGCCCATGACTAAGCAGAAAACCAAAAGTATCCACCAATCAGTACTGATGCACTCTGTAGCTCCTCCTCCCTTAGTCTGCTCTCTATAATTACCAAAGCGATTTTGAACGTCTTTTGTGGGGTTCCACTCAATGGTCTAGCCCCCATCGCAGACTGAAGATTCCCCCTGTCTTGTAAGTATTCCTAATGATTGATTAAACTACTACCTATAATCAATCTGGTGATCCTTGGCCTCTTCTTTGGTATCAAAAGGAATGCCCCATGGTTATGGGACATGTACAGGGTTCACTCCCCTGGCAGGGGAATTCCTGACCTTACAATTGGCACTGTTGGCAGGATACCAAAGGAATGCCAAGGGACTAGGGGATAGGAGGGGGTGAGGAAATCCCTGGATGGTCTAGACCACCACATAAGTATGGGGATGCTGTGAACACGCCAAAAGGCCTAGAGTCCCTTATGATGGAATTATGTTCTATTAGGTTGGGAAAAGAAGGGAGACAAGTAGTGGCAGATATGAGAAAGCCTCTTTTTCACAGCAATGAAGAAAAAGCCACTGGCAAGTTCCTAGACTCACAGGCTGAGAATAGAAAGATGCTGGAGGAATTCCACTTAGAAGAAACACGCAGAAAACACTGGTTTCCCAATTAGCCAGGTTGAAGGGAGTTAAGCATGTAGACAGGAAAGTGAGAAGGCATGTAATTGTGAGAGAGTCTCTTTCTCCTTCTCCCCCTCCATCCCTGGCTGACTGCAGCAGCCTGGGTGGGTGAACAGAAGAGAGAGAAAGAGAAAATATACTCAGTAAAGTGAAGATTATTTGAGTAGAATCAGAATTTAACTGGGGTAAGTTAAATCTTAATATCAGCTTGCCACTTTTACAATCTTTGGCAGTGGATTGGCTGGAAATGGTGGACCCCATGACAAGAAATGAGGGGAATAAGTAGCAGTTGTATACAATATAATGCTACAGTCAGTATTAAAATCATAACTCCAGATTTTGTGTAATACCTTTTAGAACATAGATCTAGGTAACTGAATTTATTCTGGTCACATTTCAAGTGAAATACTGTCCCTTCTAATTTTTAAGATAAGACAGAATGCATTATATGATTTGACACTAAGACAAATTGGGAAAATACATAGATGTGAAGTTTGTTAACTGGATTATGTTAAGCAAGTTACCCCAGTTTACTTCACATGACTGGGTGGTGCCTAACACAATGCCTGGCAGAGGGCAGACACTACAAATGTTAACTATTATTATTAGTTCTTTAATTAAATGTGACCAGTATACAATGCCAATAGTGATGAAATGCTCAATTTTCTGTATAAGGTAATTTGGAAATAAATTCAACAAGATTAAAGTCACCTGATTGGTAATGGGTTTGTTTCAAGTTTCAAATACATAACAACGCTTCAAACTGGTAAACTTTTGTATCAGGTATGTCAAGCAACTTTTTATAATTTGTATGTTATTAAAGTTTTGTAACT